GTAATATGAAAGAGTTAATGTTATCATCACATAAGCTATATCTCTAAATTGTTACTCCATAGTTGTAACATGATTTCAAAAATCTTCCTTACTTCAACAAGAATAATCTTCTTATCGGTTCTCATATCGTCGCCAAGCATTTGCAGTTTGTTATACTTAGTTGCTCTTAACAGAAACTCTTTAAAAACTGCCATCTGAGACTGATAAGGATAAATATGGAGGCTTGATTCTGAAATAAAACACAATGAACACAAATTATTTTATTTTTAACAGCTCACATATACATCAATATTATACACACACACGTTATTGTTAGGTGCTGTCAGGTCGATTTTGAATCGTCGTGGTCCCATGAGACATAAAAGAACTCCCCCTAGAGTGTTCTTGGCTGTAATCCTTATAGGAGCAGATGGCCAGTGGAGCCGTTCAATGGGTTTGAGCTGTCAAGCTTCCTTTCAGTGAGCAGCCAGGTGCTAAACTGTTGCATCCCAGGGGTCCTTTTCATCTATGCATTCAGGGACACAAAATGAAGCTCATAATAATGTCAACTAGTTTCTAACTTAGAAAAATTGCTCAAATTTAAAATTATATATTCGTTTCAAAAAAACAAAAGTCACCAGGAATAATAGTAATTTTTCTACACCAAAGAATTACATGATTTCAGAACACAGCTTAAGGATAGAAAACTATACAAAATCTCAGTGAAAATGAGAAAGCTGACAAAAATATTTATGACCTTAGTCTACATAATAAAGATTCTCCAAAGTAGTATATAACTATAGTAATCTTCAAGACAGAATGAGTGATTAGCGAACTTGAGAATAAAGGAAGTTTTCTGAAGAAATGTATTATAGAAATAACTGTTTAAATGAAGACTTGCCAGACTGTTAAAAGTAACAATATTATTTAGAAATTTTCACTATTTCCTCTGTACACAGGGTAGATAGGACAGGCAACTTAGATACTGGCTACCTAAAACAAGGGGGTGATAAAGGCACAAAGTGACTGGTTACGAAGTTTCAAGAGGAAGTTTAGTTCAAGAGTGTGTGGGAGAAGAAAGAGTCCCCACTGAACAGTTTTCATCTTGTCTAGATGGGACTGGTTAAAAGAGATGGGGATAAGATTATTATGATTCAACAGTGAGTAATAATTATCATGACTAACTGCAACTGTCACAATCGTAAAGGTAGAAGTTTTGTATAAAAAACAGGGGATGTTTGCAAATTTATGGAGGCTTGCTTTGTGACCTAACACAT